TATTTTAAAATTATAGAAACCTTGAGGTCAAAATGTAAATTGTAAAAGTTGATTTAATCACATCCAGCCTCTTCTTCTCGCAGAGGTTAGGTTTTGCCTCTGTAAAAGAAACAGCGGTAGCAGAAGGAAGAAGGAAGAAGAAGAAAGAAAAGAAGGAAAAAGAAAGAAGAAGGAGGAAGAATAAAGAAGGTACCCACTGTCTTCTATCTACTGCATCTGCTGCTTAACAACAACAAGGTTTTAGACATATATTTTTTTAACGCTTTAGCTTAACTCACTGAAAATTTGCTGCTCTTGCTTCTGGTCCTGGCAGCAATCTATAAACAGCATGCTTCTGTTTCTTCTGGTGTGAATTTTATTAAATGAACTTAAAGATTAAGGTCGTGTTTGTTCATGTATCAAACAAGGAAACCCAAATGAGGCTTTTATCTATTTGATATCGAAGTGTTCCCAATTTGAATCATTTTTAACCCTAACGATTTATAATAGAACAATGAGAAAACAACAAAATTGCATTCCTTTTATTGTAATACTTAGAAATCTTGGTAATCTGTTTAATGGGTTGCGTTTGCATATATTTCTTTATGTAGTAATTTTGTGTTTCTTCTGGAATAAAATACATGAGACTGATATTTTAGTTTGATTGAGCTCTCATTCCTTTCCCATTCTTTTCTTCTTTAGGTTTCGAAACTCTGCAGATTTTCCGATATGAAGCTGACCGTCGAATTCGGGTACTTAATTTCTTTTCCCTCTACTATTTCACAAAATTTTCGAATGGTTCTTTGTTCTTGCAAAGTACAAAAAGATAAAAAGATAAAAAGAAAAAGGACAGTATGACAATATGCAACATTATAGATATGGCTCTTCTATGGGCTATTCTTAAAATTGACTGAGATTGCCATTGTATTATGCTTGGTTGATGTGGTTTCTTTTTTTATTCTCTATTTTTTACTATGGGCAAGCTCTTTTAAAATTACATGAGTTCTTGTATGTCTAAGTTGGTTCAGGGTCATATATTATTCTTTTTTTAGTACTCTTGATGCTTTTATAAGGTATTCATAGTTTGAGTTTTGGACATTTTATTTTGTGCTTTTATGGTGATCCATTTCTACTTTGTGCCTTGTGAGCTTGAGTCAAATCATGTTTGCATTTTTGTTTTTGGCCTGAAATCATATTTTCTTTATGTAGCGGAGGATTAGAGCTTCTTTGCAACTCTGTAAAGATTCATAATGTCAATGTAGAACTGCAAAACGGAGCAGAAAAGGTAAGTTCCAGCTTTTGTTAAGGCCAAAAAGAATAATGAAATATGCAGCTGATTTTGTCTTTTTGGTGCTTTTATTTCTATAAGTCAACTGATTTTCATTTGGTTCTTGTCAGTTAACAATGAAGGATTTGCTCTCTTGGATTCGTACCAATTTGATCAAGGAGAGGCCTGAAATGTTTATGAAAGGAGATACTGTGTAAGCTAAATTCTGCTTCAAGTCAGACATGGAATGATAATTTTATATTAAGTATGCGGTTAATGGGTTTGATGGAAAACATTTATTAAAGGTAAAACATAGTAAGACTACACGAAAAGGAGAGAGGACTCTTTCAAATGAAACAAATTTGCTACAAAATCATTTTAAGTACTTCTGTGAAACATGACCATTATCTTCTTGTTAGATCATGAATTTTGTTCTGTTTTGCAGCAGACCTGGTGTTCTGGCCCTTGTGAACGATTGCGATTGGGAGCTGAGTGGCCAACTTGACACAACACTAGAGGAGAAGGATGTGGTTGTTTTCATTTCAACCTTGCATGGTGGATAGTATGTGTATCTTTGTAATATCTTTCGATTACGAGCAATCGTTCGTCGTGGGATTGTAAGAGCTTGACCTTATTATCCATGTATGTGAACATCACTACTTACTGTTTCCCTATCCAAGCATTTAGGAACGAGCTGGAAGTATATTGATATAAGGTTGACATCATTATGTAGTTGGATTGAGACTGAAGTATTTCAGTTATATATACTCTTGAGAAGTGGTTTGAAACCACCCTATGGGTTTTTGCTGACTTGATCGGTTTAAGGCACTGGCATAGCTTTGTAGACCAGGTAGGGAATCTTCACTTTCCTCAGTTAGAGCTTTTGTGCGCATATGAATAGTGAGATAGTGGTGCATCTTAAAGTTCCATGGATTGTGACTGAAATAAGATAATTGAAACGGTATGTGATTCTGTGCTGATGACCAGAGAGTGAAGAATGTGCGATAGTGACTACCTTGGGTTTCAATCCCCTGAAATACGGAAGGGGTGTAATATTTATAAAATACGTACGTGTATTATTTGGTAACTTTCTTTAAAATGTACGGCGAAAAATTAGGCCATTATAAAAAATAAAAAATAAATTCTGTTATTTGTAGTTCTTTTTTCAATAATGTATGAAAAATAGAAATAAAATATGCAGATAGGATGCATATTGTTGTCAAATTTTGGGGAAAATGTGTATTATTTGTGAAAAATACATCAATACGCATATAATTTGTGATTAATTCATTTGTATTTTTTCGAACCCCAAAGCTCCTTAGTATGTGTTTGACCTAAAGTACCAAGGAATTCATAAATGATAGAACTTAATGTTCTTGTGTTTGTAAAGTTTTTTGTTTGACTAATGAATTTAGACACAAACTTTAACTTTTATTATCTTGTGGTAGTGGTCAAGCCATCATATGTGATATTTGTGGTGAGATTGTTTTTTGTTTTTTTTTTTTGTGTGGTCATTTTTCTGGTGAGATTGTTAGTGGTAGCGTGGTGGTGAGGTGGGATCAAAGGTTTAAATTCAATCCAATCCATCAATTGGATCAGATTGAATTAGATGATCGATTTTGATAATGAATTAAGATAATAATAAAATATATAATATTTGTAGTCAAATTTAATCTAATCATACATTTTAATATACGTAAATGTAAAATATAAATGAAATGCTAGAAAAAATTACTTTAATTATATAATATATTAAACATAACTTCACGACTAAAAATGTTTATAACTTTCTCATTTTCAATTATAAATATCTACATGAGCCAAAAAATAACCTTGAAATTAACTAGAATTAATTGAATTCTCATAAACAAATTAATTAACCGATCCAATCATGTTGATTTTGGAAATTAGTGATTCAATTTAATTTACCAAATTATTGAAATGGATTAAAATTGAATTGAATTGAATTGGGCTGAATCGGTTTATTTGGGCGGATTGAATTGGATCCTGTGTTCACTTTACCGTCTTTTGTCGGTTTTGTTGTAAATACCGTATATAACCTTGCTCTGCATCTTATCTTATGACAAATAATTTTTTTATTTAAAAATAACCTTGCTCTGGATCTTTTCATCTGGCCGCCGCCACGACACACCAGTCCCCCACCTCCATTGGTGTTTTCACCTGCTGGTCTCCCTCTTCCCTTCACGGCATCTGCAGTGCCCGTTGCCAAATAAACCTTTCTTATTCCCAGCAGTAAGTCCGTTGTTATTTGGGCTTTTGAATCTCACCAATCATTATTTAATTTTTTCTTTGTTCGGCTGCATCTGTGACTGTGGGTTTTCAGTTTTGGGTTTTCTCTAGAAACTACAGCGACAACATACTTGAGCTCTTGGTCTGAGGTTTGTAGGTTGAGTTTTATTTCTTTTAATTCGATTAAGATTCACCTATTTTGCAAGTCTTGATTCAAGTCTGTTAAATCATCGCATACAAAATCATGGAAATTCATTACTCTTTAGACTGATTTATGTGTTAGGTTCTTCAATTGAATTGAGTGATAAAACTTATGGATTTATCTTTTGATTACTTGCATAAAAATCTTCCCAAAATTTTGGGTTAGGAACTGGATGATTATAGGGGGGGCTGTTTTTGGAGCTTTGGTATTTTAAAATTCTTAGCCAATGAAAAAAAAAAATCCTCTATGTATATAGAAAACAAAATTTGGAATAAGGAATTTGGAAATCCTTGCAAGCTTCCAATCTGAAGTTGAACACCTCAAACTTTGTCGAAGGATTTTGTGTACACTGTCCACGAGAACCATCATGATGAAACAAATTTGTACAATATAGGTGATGCAGGAGCATCTACCCGTTAGCCAATACCGCTAAGTTTGAGTTATTTTAAATTGATAAGTTATCATTTGTTTTCCTATTCCAACTAGGATTTGTTTTAATTCCCTGTTTTGGTTTAGTTTTCCTCTGTCAATTAGGTTTCCCTTTTATTCTAAGGTTTGATGGCTATATAAGCCTAGTTAAGAGATGTAATAAGGGTCTTTTATCAGTTTTATTCACAAGTTACAGATTATAGAGTTTCTTTTGGGTCTCTATGCCCTAGAACTCAATTATCTTCGTTCCAACTTCTATTCTATAGCTTTATCCTTCTGTTCTCTGTATTTTGGGACTGTTTGGGTCACTGGACAGCAGCTTATAGCCGCTTTTGATGCTATACTTCTTTGTATTGTGCTGATCTGATTGTAATTTAACATCATCTATAGCTGAAGTTAGTTGAGTTTTGTTCCTTTTTTTTTATCAGATAACTGCTGCAATGGGAAAGAAGAAGACAGAGGAGGCTGGTGCAACCACGAAGGTTAAGTCAACCGGAAAAGATGCTCCTAAAGACGGGAAGAAAGAGAAACTATCAGTCTCTGCCATGTTGGCCAGCATGGACCAGAAACCTGATAAGCCCAAGAAAGGATCTTCCTCAAGTACAAAGGCGAAAGGTGCTCCAAAGCGTCCATCCTACACTGATGATATTGATCTCCCCCCCTCTGATGAAGAAGATGAATATGTGTTGGAAGAGGGCCAACAAGAAGAAAAGCAGAAGAGGCCAGAATATAAGCCACTTGATGTATCCATAACAGACAAAGAGTTAAAGAAGCGTGCTCAGAAGGACCTTCTAGCTGCCCATGCTGTTGAGCAGGCTAAGAAGGAGGCCCTTAAAGACGATCATGATGCTTTCACTGTTGTTATTGGAAGCCGGGCATCGGTACTTGATGGTGAAGATGGCGATGCTAATGTCAAGGATATAACAGTAGAAAATTTTTCTGTGTCGGCTCGGGGAAAGGAACTTCTAAAGAACACCTCAGTGAAGATATCACATGGGAAAAGATATGGTTTGGTTGGCCCTAATGGAATGGGCAAGTCTACTCTCTTGAAGCTTCTTGCTTGGAGGAAGATTCCAGTACCCAAAAACATTGATGTGCTTTTGGTTGAACAGGAGGTAGTTGCTGACGATAGAACTGCCCTTGAAGCAGTTGTTTCAGCTAATGAAGAACTTGTCAAAATCCGGAAAGAGGTTGCAGATTTGCAGAATTCAGCTTCTGCTGAGGAAAAGGACGGTTATGATGATGATGTAGAGGGAGAGAAACTTACTGAATTGTATGAGAAATTGCAGTTGATGGGGTCGGATGCGGCTGAAGCTCAGGCTTCAAAGATTCTTGCTGGGCTGGGGTTCACAAAGGATATGCAAGGCCGTCCAACTAAGTCCTTCAGTGGTGGTTGGAGGATGAGAATTTCATTAGCAAGGGCACTTTTTGTCCAGCCAACGCTTTTGTTGCTTGATGAACCCACTAACCATCTCGACTTGAGGGCTGTTCTCTGGTTGGAGGAGTACTTGTGCCGCTGGAAAAAAACTTTGGTCGTCGTCTCACATGACCGGGATTTCCTTAACACAGTTTGCAATGAAATTATTCATCTCCATGATCTGAAACTCCACATCTACCGTGGAAATTTTGATGATTTTGAAACTGGGTATGAGCAACGTCGCAAAGAAGTGAACAAAAAGTTTGAAATTTATGACAAGCAGATGAAAGCTGCCAAAAGGAGTGGAAATCGGGTTCAACAGGAGAAGGTCAAGGATCGAGCAAAGTCTGCAGCAGCTAAGGAAGCATCAAAGAGCAGGGGCAAGGGCAAGGTTGATGAAGATGACATACCAGTTGAGGCTCCTAAGAAGTGGAGAGATTACAGTGTGGAGTTCCACTTTCCTGAACCTACCGAGCTTACTCCTCCACTCTTGCAACTTGTTGAAGTCAGCTTCAGTTATCCAAAACGGGAGGATTTCAAGCTGTCAGGTGTTGATGTTGGTATTGATATGGGGACTCGTGTTGCCATTGTTGGACCTAACGGAGCTGGAAAGTCTACTCTGCTCAACCTTCTTGCAGGTGATTTGGTTCCTACGGAGGGTGAAGTGCGGAGGAGTCAGAAGTTGAGGATCGGTAGGTATTCACAGCACTTTGTGGATCTCCTGACAATGGGTGAGACCCCAGTTCAGTACCTTCTTCGCCTTCATCCAGAACAAGAGGGACTTAGCAAGCAAGAGGCTGTCCGGGCAAAGCTTGGGAAATATGGACTCCCTAGCCACAACCATCTTACTCCTATTGCAAAATTGTCCGGAGGGCAGAAAGCACGAGTTGTCTTCACATCAATATCCATGTCAAGGCCCCACATTTTGCTGTTGGATGAGCCCACGAATCATTTAGATATGCAGAGTATTGATGCCCTGGCTGATGCGCTTGATGAATTCACTGGTGGAGTTGTACTGGTGAGTCATGATTCTAGGCTGATATCACGGGTGTGTGACGATGAAGAGAAGAGTGAAATTTGGGTTGTTGAAGAGGGTACTGTGAGGACTTTCCCAGGGACTTTTGAGGAGTACAAGGAGGAGCTACAAAGAGAAATTAAAGCTGAGGTCGATGACTAATAAGGCCAGAGGCATTTGTTTTTCTTTTTCTTTCTCTCTTTCTTGTAATGATAGTAAAATTTTGCAGATTCCATGTTTTAAGATTTTCCATGAGTTTGCTTGCTCATGGACTACATCCTACTTACTGATGCATTTTTATTGTTTCTGTCATTTGAGTGTATTATAATTCTACTTTGGTTAAACGGAGTGTACCATTAGCTCATTGATGTATTCACTTCAGCATTTTATATGTAGTTTTCATTTTCAACAGCAGAGCAATTCCCATAAATTATTGTATTTTTTTTTAGGGATTTCTTCTAGGGGAGTTTGTTCTATACTTGTAGACTTGATTATAAGGAAAATTCTGTTGAGAAGACAATTACTTTCGAAATTGGAAAAATATTGTAATCTTGTTGTTTATGGTTTGGTTTGCTGTCTGTCTGTGTTGTGTTTAAGCCCCAACAATTGTTAAATTCTAAAAAGTAGCCTCTCTTCCCCCACACTATTATTCTAAGATACCCAAATGTATCAATCCAATTTCTCATCTTCGCCTAAAATAAATTTATGGTTTATGGTTTGGTGTAAATTTATGGTTTATGTTATTTGAGGGAATATAAGGGGAATGTATATCTCAGTGAGCTTCAATTAGGAACAAAAAGGGTATATAATGCAACCTTTTCACAAAAGTCATATTTAGTTCATGGTTAATATTTTAACAAGGTTCCATGTGATTGTATTAATTAGCTTTTGATTTAGTGATATTTATCTCTAGTTAGTTGGAGGAAGTCTCAGATTCAACTCACATGGATGACGATGACAATATATATTTGTGGTGGGTTTTATATATAATTAGTTGTGACTAGTCTCATTGTGGTGATTTAACCTTATTGTGTGTGTATGAGCAAATCACTAGGGAAAAGTTAGAGAGAGAGGCTCCTCCTTCTCTCTAAGTTTTCTCTCATCTCCACCGCCCTCTTCTGAGTAGCTGGTGTCTCTCCCGCCGCCCTTCGGGGCGGCTGCTCCGCCACCTTTGGTGTGGCTACCCTGCCTCCTTTTGTGTGGCTCTTTTCTCTCACTTTCGTTTTGTCCTTTTGAAAGCCCTTCCTATTTTGTATTCTCTGTTGCAGACCCTTAAGTCTTCTACTCCTTCCTCTGATCTTTCTCTCCCTTTGTTCTACAGCCCTCACATCTCCCTCATCTCTCTTTCCCTTCATCCCTCCCCCACTCCGTCGACCTATTTCTCTTTTCCCACAAAATCTAAAATCCAAAAGTCCTCTATCCCTAAGATTTATTTGGTTTGCCACTGGATTGCTGCAGTTGTTCTACTCCATCAACCCATTCTCAGATCTCATACTTGGATCTGCACTTGTGGGTTCTGCAAATCTATGGTCAATCTTGACCGCAACTTGATAGATCATTTGAGTATGACGCATGGGGGCTTGCTCTCCCAAATCCACACTCTACAGATCTCCTCTCTTGGCTCCCATGGCCTTTGCTTTTCTTGTGGCGGCGGCGGCCTATCTGTGGGTGGTGACGGTGTCTTATTTTATTTAGGATTAGATATTAGGGTTTTTGCTTCTTGTGGGCTTTTGTTGTGTTGGGCTTGCTATTTTGGCACTTTAGGTTGGGTTGTTATTTTTTTTCTGTTTGAGCCTAGGCAGTAGTCTTATGTTAAGAGATGGACTGGCTCCCCTGGGAGGTGTCAATACTCTGATCTCTAACTTGATTACTTGTTCATAGTGTCTGTTTGTGTTTAGTTTGCTTTATTTTGGGCTGTTGGTAGCCGTGTCGTGCTTTGCTCTTTGTTTGTTGTGTCTGGCTGTTGGTAGTCATGTCTCACCTTGATGTACTGTCTGTTGTTTAATGGAAAGTACATTTGACCAAAAAAAAAAAAAACCTTATTGTGTGTGTATTGACTCGGTGTAAGAGTATACGAGCTAAATTGGATTTCATCAAGTCTCAAGTTTCAAGTTTCATGTTTAAGTACATGAGTTAAATTGGCAGCTATCATGTTTACATCTCAACGTTTTAAATGCCAAATATCAAACAAAGTTCTTTCTGCATTTCATTCTCAAAGCCTTGAACAAAATGAGAAAAACAAAAACAAATCCGCCCAACGTGTTAAACCTACGCGGTCCATCGCTAAACGTCAAAAAGTCCACCCAGCAACGACCGGATCATAGCCGCCACTAAACGTGGGGCCCAACAAGGATTGACGGTCCACATAGCGATAGGACCCTTCTCAGCACTAGCAGAAATCCACAGGCCGACAGGTCCACCGTTCTAACCAAAATTAAAAATTAAAAATAAAATATATAAAACAAAAAAATCAATGAAAAAATAGTGAGAACAAGAAAGAAAGTCTGTCTCGAAAAGAGGAATGAGCTCTTCTATCGCATGACGTGTCTTTGCAAATTCTGATGGAGTCGAACCCCAAGCCTTCAGGTTCGTAAATTTTCCCATGAAATTTTTCATGAATTTCTGGCTATTCGATTTCGTTTCTTTTTAATTCTGTTGAATTTCGCGGTGTTTCTTTTCTGGGTTAGACAAAAGTTGGATTTTTTTTTTTCGGTCTTGTTTTCTTTTTGACGTTATTGTTAGTTTGGTTAAGGGGTGGATGGTTTGGGAGTTTTGGTGGGTTGTTAAGAGTTATTGGAGTTTTGGGTTTTGATTGTTGAACAGGGATTATGAATTTTATGTTGGAATTGTTTTGAGGATAGGATTTGTTTGTTTGTTGAGAAAATTTGCGAGAAAAAGGATGGAATTCCAGTTTTGATTCATTTCTTGTTCATCTTTTATGACCCTAGAATAACAAGCACATCCAATTGACTGGAAAAGACTCCTCTGCGCCCCCTTTTAAGTAACAAAGTGTTGGGTTAGTGTCAATGGGTCGAATTGTGGTGATACAGATGACGATTCGGCTACTGAAATATTTATATAATTTAGCTCTTTTATTAAAAAAAAAAATGATTATGATTATTGCAATTTGGGTGATATGAATGATGGTTCAGCTATTGAAATGATTGACAGAATGGATTATCTTTTAAAATGGAGTACTAGATTTTATTCGAGCAAAATTAACATGTAGCTTGCTTGCTCATAGCTCTCTTTGTAGCTAAAGCTGTCGATAAAGTTACATAAAGTTTGTTCGCTCAGTATGTTGAACTCGTGGACTATCTTTAATGCTAGGTGGTAACCCCTTAACTCATTTATCACCCAAAATCCCCTTAGGTAGTTTGAGAAACTCAATGTCTTCTGTTGGAAAAACGGTTTCTCTTATTTTTTGTTTTCTTTCTTCTTAAGAGTTTTGTCGGGTCTGTCAGAGTTACCATAGTCCTTCTATGTTGATGTTCTTAGGGTTGTTTGGAACCTGTTGGAAATTTTCTGTGGTGTTTAATGGGTTCAACCAGATTTATCAGAAATAAGAAAATCAAATGGATAGCAGGGTAATCAGAAGCATGGGGGCAAGTAGGAAGGCATAATAGGAACTCGAGGGGAAAAAAAAACAAGAACGTTCAAATGCTTACCAATAAAACCCTAGGCAGTACAAATCAACTAATTATGACCTCCGAACAAAACACAAGAGAATTACCTGAAGCACCCGTGCTTCTACCAAAGTGGCATGGACAGTACCACTTGGACAGTAACTAGCTACAGAAGTTGAAATAAAAAATTTACAAAAACAAACTTTCAAAATCTAGCAAGGACACGCTTCGTGACCACAAACTGTTCCTGTAATTCAGAGATTTAGAGGCAGGCAATGTGCTGTGACATTTTTGGATTTTTGTAAATTTAAAAGATGTAGGAGTTGTAGGAAGTCTGTTTCTGTAACTTCAATGTTTATTAAATTGGTAGATTGTGGTTAAGGTCGTGTGGTAGTTATGGTATTTTTGCTTTGGAAAGTGAGTTACATTTTTGCCTTTCACAGCTAATGGTCCTCCCCCAAAACCGTGGGAGAGAGCAGGTTCCTCATCTGGTCCTGCACCTTTTAAACCCCCATCAGCTGGAAGCACAAGTGATGTAGTTGAGGCTTCAGGAACTGCTAAACCTGGAGAAATAGTTTCAAGTTCTGATAGAAATGCCACTATTAATAGAAATGCTCTTGCTAGGCCTGTTCCCTCAAGGCCTTGGGATCAGAACTATGGGAGCAGCAGCAACTACGGAGGTTAGTGAAAGCATGAACCTCTCCATCCCCTGATTTGTCACTTTCCAAAATTTATTTGTGTTTATTCATCTGTTTTTTGTTTTTCCTAGGCTATGGTTCTACTGTGAACTATAACTCGGGTTACGGCTCTGGAATCTCCGGAATGTCTGGAATGTCTGGAATGTCTGGAATGTATGGTTCATCATATGGCGGAACTGGAGGATTATATGGTGGGGGAATGTATGGCAACAACAGCATGTATAGGGGAGGGTATGGAGGTGGAATGTACGGATCTTCTGGGATGTATGGAGGTGGAATGTACAATAGTGGTCTTGGAGGCCAGATGGGTGGTTATGGAATGGGCATGGGTGGCCCTTATGGAGATCAAGATCCAAATGATCCATATGGTGGTCCTCCATCTCCACCAGGGTTTTGGATTTCAGTACTTCGGGTGGTAAGCATTTTACGTTTTTACTTGTTTATACTTTCATATTCGATGGATGAGAAATGCATAATGTAATAAACAAATGTATTATGAAAGTAGTAAGGTATAATAGACTATCAAACTTTCTAAATGAATGTGTCAAAATTAGCATAACATGAATCGTATTGTTTGCCGGTTTACCTTGTTTTCTGGAGCCTGCTTATAGGGCATCTGTAACTCTTTTCTTTTGGATGGGGATTGGTAGAACAAGAAAGGGATGTGCTTTTTAACACCCCTTATAATAATAAATAAAAAAATTAATTAGAGTTATTTTGGAATTTTGATGACTTTCATACTATTACTTATTCTCAATTTTTCCTCTTATGGCAGACGCAAGGTGTGGTTAACTTTTTTGGTCGAATTGCAATTCTCATAGACCAGAACACCCAGGCATTCCATATGTTCATGTCTGCACTTCTTCAGGTAATCATCTGTCATTGCATCTCTTTATTTGTCGTCAGTGTAGAATAAACTTTTGTTCAACACCTGTGAAATGAATTATTTCTTAGAGAAGCCCATCATTTTCAATCCCAGACATGAAGCATGCAGTAGGAAATTCCAAAGTCTGACATATTTTAATCGGAAGTTTAATGTGGTGGTTTAGAATATCTGGCCATCTTACTTTTTGGTTACATCTTGCCACCT